GAGAATCATTATGTTGCTATGTTCTCTTCTCTTGAAAATATTGGTAGAATATTTTGATACCCATATTGGCAAGAAATAAAATGTGAATATCAGGCGATATTGGCCTCGCCCTGGTAAAGCCGCCTTGTTGATCACGCAAGGTGAGTATACTTTTCAATCATCTCGAGCCAATATTCATATTATCTCGTCTGACCGGCACTGCAATCATTTATTGCAGCGCCATCTATCGATATAGGTTTGAGAGTGATAAATATCGAGATGCCGATATCGATAGGTACCTTCAAAACAATATGTTAGCAATATTGCTCACATATTAAATATAATAAACCAATATAGTATGATATCACTTTTTGAATATTGCTGGACAACTATTCAACCGATACATTAAGATTCATAAATAAAAATAATTTAGATGTATTATTAGGATGTTCATTCAATAAGTTTAAGATGTCTTTGCGTGATAGCTTATAGCCTATTGTTTCGTTTCATGTTTTTATTCTTCTCATTTCCTTATCGAAATTGTAAAGTACCTATGTGTTGAGGAATGTTGTATATTAATTATATTTATTATATTATTCTTATATTCATACTGTATTCAAACTTGTAATGGGGGTTTCCCGTAAATAAATAAATAAATAAAAATAAAAATAAAATGTAATTTTTTTTCTCTATCAATCAAACTTTTTTCATTTCCTCCATCTGTTCAGTAGTTAACATGTTCTCAGTATTGATTTGTTGCAATATGTTGTTGAATCTCATGGAATACCTACTTGAATAGGCCATGCTGCTCATTCTCAATTCTTCTCGATTATTATCGTGACAATGAGGTAGGTACATTGTGTGCTGTCAATTTGATTTTTTGGCCTGATCAAACAACATTTTGTTACAGGTGTAGAAAGTATTAAACTTTTCGTTGCTCTCGACTTTTCAAACAAATAAAATATCATTATATATCTGGTCAAGAATAATAAGGATGTAAGCATTTGAAAATTGAATTTTCCAGATTTAATTGTTCTGATTCAAGATTCAGGCATGCGAATATATACTTACATTAGGTACCAGACAACAGGAATTAATTATAAAACGGAATTCATTTTATTTCAACACCAAGCAGTCGCAGCGTTATCTTGTGAAACCAGCAAATTTAATCAACGAAATTCCACACTGAATGTATCGTCCATTATTACCCCGCCAAGCTTTGAATTTGTAATCAGTGTACAAAATCTCTATTTGTGGTATTGTAGAGAGGTCGCATCTAAAAATTGCATTTCATGCAGAAAATTAGTTAATTTCATTGCATCACAACTCAACAGAAGATAATAACTTTTGATAGTTTTTTCTAGAGAAACTATGATTCAGTAAAATATTGCTGGCATGTATCATTTTCAATGCATTTTGAAGAAACCCAATCTAGCTGGTCAACCAGCACATGATATATAGTTATTTATTATACAAGGGAAAAAAGTAGTAGATTTTAGCTTCAGGTTGTGTGAGCTGAAATCTAATATTTTTTCCGTGTATAATACACTATTTTTTTCTGTGACAGAAGAAAGGACGAATCAATATTGAGAAGATATTACCGTATACTACTATAGTATACTATAGTAGTATACGGTGTACCAATACAAATAATAGCGTAGCTTGAAATATCCACATATACTTACTTTAATAATCATACTAATTCTTTTTCTGTCGCTATGAAATTATCATGGAAATACCAAACTTCGTCAGTGTGACTTTAAACCAAAATCTCAACATCTCTTGAAGAGAAACTTTCACAGAATGTATATCTATTCCATTGGGATATAATTATTATATTCATTTAATTTTGAATCAATTCAACGTTCTGAACTTTCCACTTCTGAAATACATTTTCATTTTACAGCGCAATCGGGATTTGAAGTTGGCAAAATACATTGACTTTCGGCTCAAAAGTTCAGAGTAACTCGGAACTCAATTAAGTATTATGCTAGTTCAGACGCGGTAAATCAAGGAACCTTTACAAACCTACACTTGAGTGCTACACTGCAGTAGTTGTACTAATTACAACGATGTTAGCACATATGTTAGCGTAGCTCTGAACATGCCCATACAGTGTGTTTCAATTTGCTCCACCCCTCCACCCCTTGAATCTCTGTATTTCTGTATCTCTTTCACAGTCTACCTGCACAAAGTTCAACAGATATACGCGATGGATGATGAAATATTCAACTGCACCACAATTTCCCCCTCTTGCAGATTGTTCTCCATGATCACAATTTACGTGCAGTGTTGTCGTTCTATTTTGTCTCTAACTCTAGCATTTCCAGAGTAGTTCATGCGATATTTGAACTCAACATGTCAGAAATTTTGTGTTTTTCACATTGAAGTAATTATTCGAAGATATTTTGATGATCTAATTCCGTGAGGAGAATGACAAACTCATGAAACCAAAACTGGATGGTCGAAAATGACGCTAAATCACTGAGAAAAAGTTGTTCACTAGCAACTTCTGGCTATTCTTCCTATAGTAGTAGTAGTATATGTTGGTTCTTTGGTATGTATGTACATACAACTGCCCATCGACCTTACGAGAGGTCCTTTAGTCCATGTGTGTTCTGTGTGGGCTCTGTTACTAACTCCATACGCCACCTTATAGGAGCAGCACTTTTAATTGAAACGCAATAGCGAATCGTGCGGAATCATCTTCGGCCGAGGCTACGAAAATTAAAATTTATAACTCGTTTTTTTTCTGCTTTGCCGGGGATTAGAACCAAGCAACCTTCCGATGTTCCAACTACGGCGTTATTTCGGCGTTATCTCTTTATAAATTATCGCGTCATTTCATTTTCAGCTACTGGCAATAGTGTTTACATACATTACATCATAGGAATGTCAAATACGGTATGTATGTACACTCGTCTTCAATAAACATGTCGCAGTTAGAATGAGATGAAGAGAGTTGACACCGTCCATGTGCGACATGTTCTTTGGAGACGACTTTACTTTCTCTTTGTAATTCAATAAGTGATTTAGTAATTAACAGATCTAATTATTATTATTATTATTATTATTATTATTATTAGATTTCCAGAGATATCTGTTGATGAACCGTATGTTTATGTTTTGATAAAGAACTTTGAGTGAATCATTATGAACTAAAGCTCAAAATCTCCACATAGGGGGATAGTGGAGAAGAAAAGAAGTTAAATCAAACAATGAAATTAACTATGTGAGCTGAATTTATTTACATCAAATTATTGAAAAGGTTTTCTAGAATATACAATAGCAAATATTTATTCCTCAAAAAAATGGCACTAACTATCCAGATTCCCCACAATATTCACAACAAATTTGATTTTAAAAATCATATTCTTGTCTTGTCTTTTTGACTTTTGCATCGGAAACTGCATGAAATATGTTCCTATTCATTTCTTATTGTAGGTATAATGATATAACAAAAATATAACAATTATATTATCACGAAGAAGGAGAATTAGCATTATCATCATACATATACTAACCAACCAGATCCGAGAGATCAATCACATTTTCTGGGGCACCTCGTATCTATCATACAACTCAACGTTATCTTCAGGCTCTGGTGAAAACTGATAGTTTGTGAACCTATTTGAAGAAACATGTCGACATGAAAGAAGCAGACACGAAAATGAATGATAATAATCGAGTAGGTGTCGAACAAACACTGACAACCGTCTATGCGATCGAGCAATAGTGAACGTAAACGAATATAGCAGAGGAACGAAGGAAATTCGCTCTGAAGATTCTTGGATGCTGAAATAATTTTTCGTTTGTGGTATACGATACAATAACGAATTCCACTGATTTCAGAATAACAATGATTTAGAATACGTTGAGATCTTTTGTATACAGAAAATCGATGATTATAGTACAGTAGTGTGTTACTCTAAGAAGCACTACCCTTTTATTTCATTATTCGTCAATAGAAACATTTCAATGGTAGGTATGTATATGAAATCCAAATAAGTATAATAAGTACTGAAAATCAATTCTGAGTTCAAAAATGCCTGATATTATCAACTGATTTTTTGTTTCCTCAATCAGTAATTCAATAACAGAAAAGTTAAAAAAAAGAATTGAGAAGCCAGAAATGTGGATATTTTTGAGTTCAATACAATCTTGAAATATATAAGGGTAGTGGGTCAGAGTGAGCACACTATATTACATGAACATAAAAGTTGTATTATTCAACGATCTAAGCTTTGAATAATGAAGCTGTAAGAAAACAAACAACGAATATGTTTCCAAAATCCAATTCCAATCTAACTTCCATAAAATAATCTGTTCAAACTATGGAACATCAAAAACGGAATGGGTATGGAGCTGCATCAAATTTGTTGCGAAATTTTAATGATTTGCCATTTTCATAATCCATAGCATAGTTCAGTCTGATTTCCATCGAACATATCAACCGCACTAGGCATATACAGAGTAATCTCACAGTAGGTAAACATCAGAAATTCATATTGAATGTCATGTTCTTCGTCTTTTACAACTCTCAGTTTCCAAGAAAAAACAGGATGGAAAAGATAAAATAAAAATGTATATTCCTTCAATTGTATCTGCTTTCTGAATGAAAGCTCGACAAAAATATCACTTCTTGTCCCAAGGAAAACATAGCAGTGGTAGGCGTCATTGGAGATGTCCAATATTTTTTTTTACTCATGACATTATATGCAATTTTTCATAAGGTTATCGAGAGAGCATCCAGAATACATCGTTGAATCGAACTTCATTCGAGAAAACATGGAAAAATCTCATTCAGTTACATATTTTTATATAGTTGCCAAGATGAACTTCAGGATAACATAATAGTTAAGTGGAAATCTAGTGGTGTAGGAAATGAATGTTCATGAGAGCTGAAAATTATCGGAATTATCAATCAAAAAGTCAATAATCATGGTAATGAAATCTCGACGTCACCATTGAAGCATCCAAAAAGAACAAATTTTGTTCAATATGCTTTCCAGATGTCATTAGTTTGAATGTGTTATTTCTGAGCGATACATTTCTGCCAACAAATATCTGAGATCGGTGGAGGAAGATATTTTTCAATTGACGAAAAATTTACCATTCATCTCAAACAACTTCCTGCAGGAACAAAGCCCAAAAAATAAAACATCCATCCCACATACAACTCCGATCTATGATGCACAAGAAACTAGATCTCATGACTCATTATCCCAAAAAGACATCTCATCAATACACTATATTTGTTTTGCCCTAATGTTTTCATGAGGACGACAAGGAGACTTTTTGGACCTTTTTGTCAACAAAATATACTCACTTTGCTTTGGCAATGCCGTGATATTGATGTCGATATTGTAAATAAATGGGTGCAAGGAGGTGTACTTGCCTCCCTGTTGAACTGAGAATATAAGGAGAAGATTAAGATTTTTTCCATAAATAATTGAATTCGAATGAAAATGTTGGGGTTCTAATAGGTTGCTATCCAAATTTGTTTTTGATTCAACACAACATACAAACATGTATAATTATCTATAATCAATATTTTATTTGGTAATAATAATATACTGTGTAGACGCAGATGTACCTAAGCGAAAATATTCTGAATTATTCAGTTCTTTGCACATTTGGCACCGTAAAACCATTTCCGCATTGAATTTTGGAATAATCGAAACCACGCTTTCAATATACAAACTTTTGTGGTATAAAATTATTCTATTATTCATTCGAATGGACTAGGTCATCACAAATTCTATACACAGCACATTCCAGTCTGATACACTAGTATTTAACAATGGTTCCAAATCTGGAAATGTATGATCGTGTTCGAATGTAAATAACTCTGTCCCCTCGGGATAATGAGTCTACAATCTCAGTAAACATACCGTCCTACTCAAAACAGACCGTTCATATCGCGAGGGTGACGTCATCGCTGTCGACGTCGCTCCAATGGCCGGAATCGACGGCGATGCGCCTGCAAATGTTCCGCGGTACGCGGTGCACCTCTGGTCAGATCTCGATGACGGTTTCCTGCCTATGGTGCGCCAGACTGTCGGAAATCGAGTGGCTGCTGCCGGGGATCGGTTCAGGAAAGCCGTCGTCCAGGCATTCGGTCACGTCTTCGAATTTGCTACTGAAACAAAGGAACGAGGACGTAGAGATCTCACCATCTAGGCTCACCAATCATCTGGCCCCCACCCAGACCTTCCATTTTGCCACGCCTACTACCTGTCTTAGAACTCCTGTCACTCAACTACTACCGTATGTGAGTATGTAGAAGATGTACCCTACAATAAAACTGAAAAATCATTCCTTCCATCAGATGCAACTAAAAATCAATGCGCTGTATAATTATTCATCAATGATGACATATCTCATGTTTCCCCATCAGGCTAACCAATCACACGCCCCTACCTTGACCACGCCCCCTACCTGTCCTAGAAACTCATTCGCTCATCTACTAACGTGAGTGAGTAAGTAGAAAACGTGTTCCAGAATTGATAAATAATAATTTTCGTTTTAAATTGTTGTTTTGATCTCATTCGTCATTCGGTTGCTCCCTTATGAGCAATCCTCAGAAGTCTTCAAGAGACTTGTGCGAGCAGGAAATGACGAGGGCCTCACCTTTCAACGTGTGATCCCAGACACGTTCTTAGGCCATCAGAAATATGTATGCAGTCGTGATAATCCAACGTAAATATAATACTGGCGCCTCTACCACGTGGCTACCTGTCCAATAATGCTTAAAAAATCTGGATACAAAATATTATTTATATCAGATCAATCAATAATCCATACCCGATCGGGTCACTCCATCTGTCACGCCATTGATCTGTCTCAAGAACACCTTCACATATCTACTGACGTAATAACTATTGAGCATACGAATTATCGCAACATACCGCCTATTATGATGTATATTGAATACACGATCCTTTTTGCTGCTGAAAAAAAGGGTTGAACGAAGATACAACTGGAAGTCATTGGAGAACAATCATTGATCAAAAATTATAGGAGAATATTGCTATACTATATTATTCCTATAGGCAAACCAATCAACAACTTTGACCACTTCTCTAACTAACACCTGTACTAGACAACCCTTCGATTATCTACTGTCTTAGTAACTGAGAGGTAGATGAATTGATCATATCATTACAACTGGTGCATGATCACTGATGTCAATGATGGAAACGAAGGTTAGTGAACAATTGATCAATATTATTGATAATGGTATCTTGTTCATACATTGTTGTTCCAGATGACAACTTAGAAACCTAGTGGTTAGTAGGCAAGAGCTTATTATACCTCCTCGCACTAGGTTTCCATTTAGATCACAATGGTTCATATTTTCCCCTTCATAGTAATCAATCATTAAGAACTACTTATAACATTTCTAAAGGTATACCCCTTGTTCGTTCTTGAAAATGTTTTCCTCATTCACTGCTGTCATAACTAATAAGCGGATGAAGCACAACAGACAGAAACAAATAAAATTGAATCTCTGCCGGTCTGTTATATGTATCAGACACTCCTTCACTACCCCACTGATCTACTTGGCTATTCAGATAGGAAATAATGGGGGCGCGAATGCAAATCAGTTCTAAAAATTTTATGAATTATGATGAAAAAGGAATTTTTCTAAAGTATATAAAAATCTATCACGCTCCCTTCGCTCATCTACTACTGTTAATAATGAGTGGATAGATTAACTAAAATATACAGAAACAAGTGGTCTTTATTCAGTGAATGTCTATGATTGAATAAATACAATAAGCAGATTAGATAAACTATCTCAATACGCAATATACGCATTTTCAGCTCTATGCAGAAAAATGAGTACATCGATAGAAAAATCTTGTAGAATTAACCCCTGGAGGCTAACCAATCACCAACCCAACGGGAAGGTCTTATTTCAGCACGTCTCCTACCTATTCTAGAAACCTCATTGCTCAGCTACTATCGTGATAGCCGAAAGAAAAACAGGGTTGAAAATGCAAATAGTTGCTGAACAACTGATGTAGATAATGGTAGGGCAATCTTGATAGTCTATAGTTTCTTCTACTGGTCAATCTACATGCTGATCCAACTCAAACGTTTCATTCTACCAGACCCCTTTTCTGTCCTAGAAATCCCCTCGCTTTTCTACTGTCATAATAATTAAAAGATTGATTGTTCACGGCACCAGAAACAATGGATGTGTGTCGTAGATATTTATCGAATGAAGATGGAGATCTTTACAGAAATGAATATTACTAGACATACCTTTCGAAACTATCTATATCAACAGACAAGAGCCGGTCTTTCTTCTTCCTCTGACCCTTCCGCCTGTCCTTGAAGGATAGGACCAGATGCAGCGCAGCGAGGGTTATTAGCAGCCCTCCAGCCACATAGGACAGCCACAGGTCGTGAGGCCATAGAAGAGGAATCGCGCCGAGCGGGCTGTACGCTATGGTTTTCTTCCAGCCGCAAAACCACGTGACCGCAGACCAGAATTTCCAAATCCTGCTGTCGCTCCTGAAAATGAGATATGCCAAGTTGGTGTGAATTCATGATTGGATGGTTTGATGATAGCTTAATTGACATGTTCCCACTTTTGAGTCGTGAGCTACAAAAAACCTGAATCTCAGAGTGTCGAATCCATCATCACTCGATATCCTAGTTTATAGGACAATAAAAATATTTTATTTCGAATAGAACTGTGGGTTGAACCTCCTTTGTCTGTCAATGTTTTTTGAAGTCACTGTTCTGTCCAATCGCTCTCCTCATCTGTCTCTGACTCACCTAATGCTCTATATTAGGTCACTATATTGATCAATCACTCTTTCCTCTGTATCTTTTAGTTTATCGCTGTTTTGTTCAATCTCTATTCTGTATTTTGGGTGACTATTTCATTTATCGGTCAGAATCTACCGCTTTGCATTCTGCATGCAAATTGTTGCTGTTTTTTGCCGTGGCTGTGTGTCACCCTTACGCTCTTTTGTTCATCGGTATATAATAAGGACAATGTTCTGTTCAGTTGCTTTCTCATCTGTCATGATTGTTTTCTTCAGTCACTCTTTCCGCTTTGAACTTTTGACATTTGCGCTGTTTCGTCCGATCGCTGTTTTTTTTTGTCGCTAAACTCGCCATTCAATTTTTCAGTCACTCGCCTATCATCAACTCCTGTCACTCGGTGTTCGAGGATCATGAGTATAGGAGTGAGTAAAATAGAAAGCCGGTCCTAAATACGTATGCTTCATTATTAACAGTGAGTAGGTATCAATTATTACACTCTCATTTGAGAACTCACGCTTCCTGGAAGTCCTTGTCTATAGTGTTTCCATTTCCCAAATGCACTTTTTATCTGATATTGGGTTAGTATACTGGACATATTCTCTCTTATCCCTTGATCACGATCCATTCTAATTGTGCGTGTCGACTAACAATTCCTTATTGTGCCTTGCGAAATAAAGGGAAATTTATGTGTAACATGTGATTACCCTCATCCTCATGCTGAGCTAATTCAAAAACATGGAGGTACACGGAGTTCGCACAATGGCTCGGTTAAAATTGATCTATGTGGGAAGGAGAATTTACTGAATAAGAGGCAGAGCAGCCATTAATGGAAAATAAAACTGACATTCAGGTTTTTGTAGTACATTACTTGGGAGCATGGATCCAGGCAATTTCTTGACTGGACTTTTGCTTTTGTTATCTGATTTCAAGAAGTAAAATTGTTCTTACCTGATACATATTCGTAGGAAGAGTGTAACTACCCATAACACTTCTGTTACCAGCACGAACGTTGAGATGCCTCTGCAACAAAGGAAGGTATACTCAAAGACTTCGTTTGAAGTGTGAAAAAAATTGAAACCCGAAATATCAATTCTTCGATCATTTTTTGCCATTGCCAACTACGAATAATCATCATTTCGATACAGAATCACAATGATCATGTCTATAACTATAGAAAAACACTTCAAACTGATTTATCAATTTCTCTCGCTACTAGCTCTCGATACAATACTGCATCCGTCGGGCTACCTGCCGATATTTATATCTAACCTAATGCATTCTAGCGTTACCATAACCTTTCGAGAGGACGATACTGATAATACGCTGTGTACAGGGTATCCTGAAATTAGCCGGCCAAACTCAACCAGCGGCTTCTACGACCAAATATAGGAAGAAAAGTTTCAATGACCATGAGTCGATAAATGTCTACTGAGAGAGCTACGACCCCCGGAATGGGGATTCCTGAAGATTATATTTCTTGAATATTTCGGTAACGCCATATTATATAGATTAAAATTCTGAAAAAACTAAAAGAAAAGTTTCTATCCAAACACTAAAAATAGGAAAATAAAATTGTTCTTTTAAATTTCAACTATCAACTTATAACTTTATTATACACAATTTATATGATCATAGAACTTGATGATTATAATTCTATATTTCCAGCTGTTTTTTTCTTATTAGAGTTGATTGTGATGTTCAGAAAATATCCGCAACGGAAATTGACAAAATTTCACAAACTTCATCCAACCAATCAACATCACAATTAACTCTGATAAAACGAGAATAACTGGAAATGTAAAATTATAGTTATCTAGTTCTAATTTTTCATCTTGAAACACATGCTCAAAATCATTGCGAATTTTTCAGGAATCAAAATGAAAAATGACCCTTTTTCTCCAAAACGGTTCCGTTCACGGTATTCCAACAAGAATACCTTTTTCGAGTAGAAGAGTTCGAAGAATCATACTATGGTAGTAGAGTTGAGATGAATATTGAAACAAAAAACTACTAGTTTTGCACCTCTCTGTATATTAAATCATGTTTTACGAGTTCTGAGATCGAATCACCTTAGGTACCAAATTTCGTGTTTCCAGGATCGATTGCAACAAAGATAATGAGCGAGTGGGCTGATAATGAATAATTGGCATTCAATTACTCCACAGTTGGGACCAAAATTAATTTTTGCAATACTTCTCACGCTTTTTTTATGTGAATAATGAGTCATTTACGGCATTTAAGGCCCTATCTTCAGAGGCTCTAGTGCCCTCAGGAAACATTTCAGGACACATGTTGATAGGGACATTTTTTCTTATTTTCATCTGCAAAATCACCTCCTGGAGTATGAGAACGTTATCATGGGACCCTGTATATTGAAAAAATTGAAAAATAAATCAAAAATATACTTTGCATTTGGAAGAAATGATTTCTGGTATAATTCACAGAATTCTTCAGCCTTGAATAAACCGTATAGCCCCTCATCACTAATTATACTTCGGATTAAGCTTTTCGCTATACAGGGTGTTCATTTCAGGACTTCCCACCCTAATTTTCTCGAAATGTGTGTATGTTTTTGAAAAATCCCGAGACACGTCAACTACATTTTCGAGGGGGACATGGTTCTAAAATATTTTCAGCCCCGCGGCGTTGCCGCTTCTAACGAAAAGAAGCAACAACTTTGTTATTTCAAATGGAACGCCCTGTATTTTATTGCATTTTTAGATTCTCCCTGAAAAGCTGATTTCATCAATGCATCACACTTGGGGTCTAGCAGGAATGATTACAGAGATATAGGGTGTTCAAAATCGAGATTTTACAACTTTAGGATTTTTTGAGTCGAAACTATTCATTATTGGTCAAAACGGCTTTCATGTCCCTATCTCAACTTTTGATTCACTATCTACTGACATTTATTTGAAACAAATACAGGGTGGTTCAAGATTCAAACTTTTGATCACCCTGTATTTGTTTCAAATAAATGTCAGTAGATAGTAAATCAAAAGTTGAGATAGGGACATGAAAGCCGTTTTGACCAATAATGAATAGTTTCGACTCAAAAAAATCCTAAAGTTGTAAAATCTCGATTTTGAACACCCTATATCTCTGTAATCATTCCTGCTAGACCCCAAGTTGTGATGCATTGATGAAATCAGCTTTTCAGGGAGAATCTAAAAATGCAATAAAATACAGGGTGTTCCATTTGAAATAACAAAGTTGTTGCTTCTTTTCGTTAGAAGCGGCAACGCCGCGGGGCTGAAAATATTTTAGAACCATATCCCCCTCGAAAATGTAGTTGACGTGTCTCGGGATTTTTCAAAAACATACACACATTTCGAGAAAATTAGGGTGGGAAGTCCTGAAATGAACACCCTGTATGTACTCCGTACCTCTTCGATGCTCATCCTGCCATTCACATGATTTTCTCGAGTACTTTTTCCGTTTTTCCTGTAGAACGATTCCATCCATCCAAGGAAATTTCCTCTATTTCTTTTTAAACTTATTGAGAGATTGATAAAGCTCGAGTTCGATCAGGCCGATATTACAGGTGCCGGGTGTAGAGCGCCTCATAAAATTTTCCAGCCGTATTTCCAGATTAAAGGATACCCAAAGCCATTTCATTTTACTCTAGAGGTGCTCTAGTTTCAGAGGGCATTCCGGTTATGGGGGTGTATAAAAAATGAATTTGTTGTACGGGCGATTTACCTCATTTTTAAGTGCGTATTATATGGAAGATCAATAACTGTTCCGATCGACTGGGCAATTTTACTTTTTTGTGTAGCAGGTATACACCGTTTTCAATAGTTATTTAGAAAGTGTAGTTTGTAAGTAAGATTAAGGTCAAATGTAATATAGAAAGTGTAACTTGTAATTCAGAATAGTTGATTGCAATTCAGAATACTTCAATTGTAATTCAGATTTGTAAAAGCCTTCATTTCTGGTGCCTTCACTTCGGCGCTTCTTGGACAAAGACTTCTTGAGCCTGTTTTGAATAACTCGGGCGCCACATTTTTTTCGAAAGTGATTTACTTGACCTACTACAAACTGATTTTTTGAGCTGGCCTAGGTGAATAAAGGTGCAAGGAGTGCTCATACAGTGAACCAGGGGTCAATGTTTTTATCTGACCTGGATTGGGGAGCCAAGAGAATGTAGGCTTTGATTACAAACCCTGAGTTTAGCCTAGATTACTGGTTGCTAGAGTTATTGATGACTAATTAATGATGTTCCCGGAGAAAGACACTCTGAGGGAACCAAAAAAAATCTCTGTCGGCAACGGTCACTGATATTTTCATCTCAAACTTAGAAAATTATTACTTCAAAATATTTCATCACTTTGAACTCGGCAAAAACACGCTGCCAATCATGGGAACAGATCCAATTCATATTTATTTCCTTTATTTTTACATTCCAGAATTAATACAGAGCACAGGAGCACAGAACAGAAATGCCTAGAATATAAGTATTGACCATTCTAGAACACGTGATTTTGAGAGGGTTTCTTGAAAGGCACACAAACTATCTCTTAGGTTACCTTTGATGAGGATAACCCTACCCATCCACAACATAATATCAGAACCACCAAACAGAATCATGAAATTCCTTTGGGTTCCAACTCAAGTTTCAAGGAAAACGATCCTACTCCTTCTGATTTTATATAAAAAAATACCTTGTTTGCCCTCCGAAGACCCGTCAGATGTCGTAATTCTGGAATGATTAATTGACACAAAACCAGGGTCCTCACTCTTGTGCTCTTACAGCGACGGTGATTCTGCAGTATCCTCTATGCTCCTTTAACTTTCAAGACAAATGACTATTTTTCAAGATCGTGTATAATTAGCAATGAATTTGAAATATCAACAATATAACCGGAAAATTTCACAAACGAAAATATTGAAAACAACGAAAATACAAAAAAAAACAATATGCAATCACGGAAAAACATTTTTTCGTGGCGTAATCGTGTCTTTCGCACGGAAATTTGTACAGAGGTGATGTCAGAATTTCCACAGTATAGAACTTTGGGTGGAAAAAAAGGATCTCACCCAAAATTTTATTTTATAGCTATAAAATAACCTGCCATTATTTACTCTTTTTCAAGGAGTAAAGTACCTTTTTTTTATTAAGGTAGTTCTCGTCATTTTATGAACCACTAGTCAATGAAGACATAGCCATATCTGTTGTAATTAACCTGAATTCACTGTTCTGATGCGGGATTCGCAGGAATGGCACTCGAATCTAGTAGGTATTTATCAATTTATCAATAACGACTTGTCATGTGCAGTCGTGTATGAATAACTATTATTCCAAAATACGAAAAATATTAGAGCTTTTCTGGACTCTGACATGAGTCTGGGTAAATATCGGGTATGAAAAAGTAACAGAATTGAAATGAAATTATATAGAGGCTAAAATTGTGAAAAATTCTTATATAGATACAAACTAACAGGATAGCAATGTCCAACACAAAAATCACTTACAATACTTAATGAAAAAGTGTGGATCTTATCCTATAAGAAGACGCATGCGATATGGTTGATAACTTCAGAATCGTATCGTACAGCTCAACAATTTGTGTTTTTGTTAATAGTGATATTTTCAGAGGAGTTTCAGATTTGCCATGTCAAGAATATTTTGAAAATATTTTCAGATGTGAATCACATGAAAATTTTAAAGGACCCTGCAATAAACTATAGGGAAAATGGCGCTCGATGAAAATCGCTGAATTTTTGGTATGTTGCAGACTTTGATATACTGAACAGATATACCAATGAACGAACCTCAAACAATAGACAGTTGTTCCGATATAGACCTCCAAATGTCATTTTTTCGAGAAAAAAAAGTATCTGAAAATCCAAGTGACCTAACCTCAAAAAATTGACAGTTTTTCTATATTGACCTCCAAGTGTACGTATGGAAAATAAGATGAATGGAACAATAATCAATAGACAAAGTTGCTGTTTTCGAATTAGTATTTGGCATTTCATTCTTCTAATAACAAATCTTCTTCATATGAAACATCCACAGGTGAAGAAAACCGGAGAGAGGATGAAATAAATATTATTCAAAAGATGGTTATAGTCTTTCCGAAATCAATGGGGTTGTAGGTATATGCACTAGTCGAATTTATGCCATATATCTTTTCAATTTTGATCATTCCATCTATTATAAAAGTATTCGATAGACTCATTCATTACTTAAAATAATACCAAATATATTTTTTTGAATAATCAAAATAATCACCTCTCAGCGACACTATATAGCCGCTGATGACGTGAAATTGACATACCAATACCGATAAACACTTTTAGATTCTTATTGCTTAACAACTAATGAGAATATTTCCAAATCCTTCATAGAATTGAGGATTTATTTCCACAGTAGGAGTGAAGTATTGTGTACTGAAGTATACACAATACATAAATCGTATCGTATAGTATAATTGCAATGGATTTATCGCGGTATATATTATGAAGTCATAACGCATTGTCCCGTAATTTTCATGTTATGAAATATCGTGAATTTCAATAATTATTTACGATATGTAAAGAGATCTGAAGAGAAAACTGTTTGCGACAGTGAACAAAATCTGTAGATTTTTTGAGAATAGGTCAATTGGATTTTTTCATCAGTCCATTCCTATTTTCAACATACCAGAAATTCAGCCATTTTCAGAGATTGTTTTTCTTGAAAAAATTGCATTTGGAGGTCAATATCGAGAAAACTGTCAATTTTTGGAGATTAGGTCAATTGGATTTTTCCATCAGTTCATTCTTATCTACAACATGCCAAAAATTCAACCATTTTCAGATACTTTTCTTTTTCGAAAAAATGACATTTGGAGATCAATATCGAAAAAACTGTCCATTTTTTTTAGGTTAGTTCAATGGAAGATCTGTTCAGTACATCAAAGTCTGCAACATACCAAAAATTCAGCGATTTTCATCGAGAGCCATTTTCCCTATAGTTTTGTACGGGGTCCTCTTCAGCAGATTTCAGAGTATTTATTCTACTGATAATCGTCTTCAAAACTGTCCGAGAATGTTTCAAAATGGGGATGTGGGAAGTATCATTATTGTTGTTTCTCATCATTGTCCAGAAAATAATCAAAAAATCTTAATATGAAGAATCTAGTCAATTACCCACATACATACTTACATGAAATAGTATCCTGCCCGATGTCGGTGAAATACCAAGTCTACACCAACTCCAGCCAACACTGAAACAATGAGAAAGTTAATTATTGCAGTGTTCTCATTAGGGTCGAAGTTATTCTGAAATAGAAACTCCTGTATATAGTTACAACTTTGAACTCATAGGGGAGCGATGTCTCATTGGATATACATACATATCCCTTCAAAGACCCCAGATGAATGAAAACATCAAGGAGAATAGGTATGCAGGATATACCTTCACGAGAAACTTTGGAAAATGGTGTCCTATTTCGAGTCGATAAATAGGCGAAATGATGCAATACTTTTTAGCCTACAGAACATACATCCGCTACTTAGATGAGAGGGAGAACACGACTATTAGAATAGAACTGCAGCAGTTATTTGAAAAGTATCATATGCGATGTTTACCCCCTCTCTACCCACTGTTGTATCATTCATGTAACGATAGCACTTGACTCTATTGAATAGATCCGATGAAAGCGCGCTAGCGACATAGGTATCATGATTATTGTTCAAGAAGCGGTAGTTAGGTGAGGTTATGATAATTTTAGTTGAATTTTATTATATTTCGCTCTTGTTAGTAAGACCACGTTATGCCCGATTGCGGTAGTTTCGGATTTATTTTTCCATATGGGAAGCAAGTTAGGTCACATGTTTATACGTATTTTTATCCTATAATATGATGGGGAATCAACTTCTACATTTTTTTCACGTATTCATTTACATTCTCTACATGGGAACACAGATTCATACAGGATTCATTCAGGATTTCCCACCCAAATTTTCTTGAAATGTGTGTATGATTTTGAGGAATCCCGAGACACGCCAACAAATGTATCGAAGGGTATAAGTTTTCATCAGGAAATGAACGCGCCCCCTTTCATCCCCTGCAAGGAGGAGCTACCAACTGCAAAATCTCAAACGCGAAGGGGTATCGAGTCATACCCCATTTTGAAGGTCTTCGTAATCACTACACGTCAGTGTTTTATTTTCTGAAATTTATCGATCCGTTGTCGGGATATTTAGGAAAATCAGTTTTCTGATGCGTATTTCATTGAAATAAAAAATGTAACTGTTTATTTTCATTCCTTCAACTTCAAACCTGAATATCAATATTTTTCACTACTGTCCCTTCAGTATTTGCTCAGAATGTTGTCCATTATTGCCCAAGCAATGGTATAACCACTGTTCAAATGCGTGGCACACATTTTCAAATATTTCTGGTCGAAGTGCTTGACATTCTGCAGTGATCCTTTGTTGAAGCTCTTGTAAATTTTGCTGCGGGCGTGTGTAAACAGCTGATTTTGAATGTCCCCATAGAAAGAAATCACATGGTGCTAAATCCGGGGACCTGGTTGGCCACTCTATGGGTCCTCTTCGCCCTTTCCATCAACCGGGAAAATACGTTATGTAACCATTGGCGGACAGGAAGCACATAATGGAGGGAGGGAGCTCCATCTTGTTGAAAATGAAACTGGTTATCATCAAAATGGTGTTTCCATCTCTATCTAGTTGATTTTCAAGTGCTTCAGTAATTAGCGGATTGATCGTATTTTCTAGCATATTCAAGTACACTTCACCATTTAGATTTCCATTGATAAATAATGTACCCTAGCTATTGGGTATGCCCTTCGACAAACACTTGGTCATTTTCACTGTTCCAATATCTGCAATTATGTTTATTGACAAATCCATTCAAATAAAAAGAACACTCATCAGAGAAGCAGATATTTTGAAAAATGTGATATTTTCATTAATAATTGTTGTCATCTGCTCACAAAACTCAATTCGTCTGTCAAAGCCGTCTTCACTCAACTCTTGAAAGATTTTCATTTAATATGGATGGAATTTATTAATTTTTGTAATTTTGTGGACAGAGCCTAAGGAAACTCCAGTTGCAGTAGAAATGGTACGTAACGAAGTATTAGGACAAAATATCCTAATACTTCCATTTGAGTGGCTTCAGTCAGAACTCTTGGCTGATCATGTTTTTAGTTTGCAACAGATCCTGTCTGAGTGAATTTGGGGATCAGATTGAGGACATACCGATGAGAGGTGTTCTTTTCTGGGTGCCTCTCGTTAAATATTGCGGCAGTTCGTCGAGCACATCGATTTTCGGCGCCGTAAATGAACACTATTATGACTTTTTCAGCTACAGTGTAAACCATTTTTACTACAGCGCCTTATCAAATCATAACTATCACAAAACTGATAACTATAGTAAACAGATCAATATGTCTTTCATTTTATTTTATTAGTACACTTTTTTGCATACCTTTCAAGGCACATCGGAAGTAAATAGAAGAAAAATACAGTCAAAGTGTTTTTATTTCAATTTTACGCAGCAGCAAACAGAATGCCTAAATATCTCGAAAACGGATCGAACAATTTTAAAAAAGAAGGACCTACGTGTAGAGATTGAAGAGACCTTCAAAATGAGGTATAACTCGATACCTCTTCGCATTTGAGATTTTGCAGTTGGTATAAGTCCCTCTTGCAGGGGATGAAAGGACGCGCGTTTATTTTCAGATGAAAACTCACCTCCTTCGATATATTTGTCGACGAGTCTCGGGATTTTTTAAAAGCATACAGAAATTCCGAGAAAATTAGGGTGCAAAGTCCTGAAATGAACACCCTGTATATAGAGGAATGGGATAATGACTTCCGTGTTCCATTAGGATATAAGATGATCAGATTCATAAAAAAGTAGCTCAAAATGAACGCAAATTCCAAATAATTTCATGAAAAAGTCCACTGTAGCCGATGATTACCGTCAACTCGTGATTTCACCCTACCTGATTCTTACCTGCGCTACTGAATGAACGTCTGAATTCCCCCAGGAGCAACTTTATGTGATTGCTGGAACGGGTTCATTTGTTAGAGTTTTTCCCATCTCTGGACGAAATTGCAACGTAACTTCCTTTTGATTTATCGACCGTATCTATTATAACGACCTGGCCAGAACAAGGGAAAGAAAGATAAATAATATGATTCGGCGATATCGGAATTTGGCCAGTATATGAATCATCGTTTGAAAAAATGGAACCTGATGCAAATAAAAAATGAAAAATGGAGGTTGAAGAGACGTTTACATCGAGGTCTCATGCTCAGTTTATTGCTGGTGAAGTTATTATTGATCATTTTGAACTGGTAAGCTACTTTATCGACCAATAATATCATTACACGTTGCATCTCTAGCATCGCTAATGCCAAAATCATCCAGCAATGAACCCAGCTTCAGAGAGAGAAACAATAGAGGTATGTTCGTTTGTGTTGCTCAACTTGCTAAAGTTGATTTTGTTCCTATAGTTGTCTCTGTTTATGGCGTAATGTAAACAGAGAAAGTCATAGGAAAAAGACATGTTCAGCAGGTAGAGCAGACACAAATGAACACGCCTATTATCGATGAATTTCCAGGCACTGAAGGAAGATGTTCGGCAATTATTGTTCATTAATGTCTATAATTCTGGAGAGATTTTGTGTGAAAAAATTCAACAATAGAATCATAGTTTTGGTTCGGCAAAAACAAGTTACTCATACTACTAAGAGATATTAATATTCACCATTCATTCCTCAAAAAACCTATATGAATATTGAAGTTGACAATTTTTCATCAAAAGAAACTATACTTTCAACTCAATGTATTTCACCATACTTACATATTTTATTCAATAACTGTAATGATAAAATATCTATACTGCCTGTCGGTTAATTGTTAATCGATCATCTTATTTCAATGAAAAATCGATTTTGAAAATCGGTTCATTGCTCCTAGCATTTTCTTTCCATTTTCCTTCTCATGGTAGGCATGGCATTTGTTCATATTTCGACGTTTGTTGAATATTGCTATCATCATTCAATTTAGTGAATGTCATTGCTGCTTTCTTTGTGTAGTCTTATGAAAATGAATTGAATGTTACTGTTCTCATGGTTTCTTCAACCTGGTTTTCTCCAAACAAAAACTTTATCTTTATCTAAACGGAAAACATATTCTTGTCCTTGTCTGGCAAAACATATGGGTGTGTTTTTCATTCCATCGAAGAAAGTGCGCACTGATAGATGCGGTTTTTTGTCGTGACGTCACCAATTGTTCTGTTAGAATTCATGCTGGAAGGATTGAACAATGGTTCATACAACACATTGATGGAAACACGGATTTTGTTGTGTGTCAGTCATCATGTATCTTGAGAATCAGAAAAGGCTAATTCGACTTTATTGATTAACACTGACTCTTTCTTCTAAAATCTCTCAAGAATCTCAAAAATCCTCAGTATCAATTGTTTTCTATCAAATCGAAACAAAAAACAACACTAAAATGTGTCAACTGTCATGTCAATCTCCTCCAAACTGCTGGATTCTCGAAATGCGATTTGAAAGTGCGCATTTCATTACAACAGTTTGATGGATGTCCATCAACATTCCAGCGGAATTTTGCAACAGTTTGATGGTTTCTTCGATTCATGCGCATGATAAAATGTTGGAATGAAAAACGCACCCATGATTTGCTTCAAAATCGTTTTTGGTTATGTTTGATTGTCTAGTGTCCGTACTCTAATAGGTCGCGTGCAAGAACTGTCAGATGACCGACCCTGGAGGCAAAACATATTTGTTTACAAGTGATCGAAATAGTTTTCCACAATTATTTTGGCATATGAATCGTATTTTTCCGCTATTCATCAATTCGCTCATGCCATCACATTGTGCTGTTGTAAAATGCACAAAAACTGCAGCGGAAGATGAAGAAATCCGGATGGTACATTATGATTCAAAAGTAAGTACCTACTATAGTCACTCACATAGTTTTCATTATTGAAATTTGGATATTTCTCTGATTTCTCATCGGAATTCCTTCTGCAATAGGATCAGCTAATAGAAATATACCTGAAATTTCTAGAATAATGCAAGAAGATTGGATTCATGCAATCAATCGGTAGGACTGGTCTGACATGCTGACGATCGTGTGTGTTGTAGACATTTTCAATCTATTAGCAGCATTAGCTTGTATTGCAGAAGTGGCAGAAGGCAGAAGGAATTTTAATAAGGAATGACAACATTTCATAATGATAACTATGTGAGATTACTATTTACCTGAAAAATCATATTCCCTAGTCTCTTGCTGCATTTTTTGTGCATTGTACAACAGCACAATGCGAAGGCATGCTTGAATTAATGAATAACGCAAGAAACACGATTCGTATGCCAAAATATTGTGAAAAACTATTTCAACCTTTTGATTCCTCTGTAACCAAATATGAAAGTGAGGTTGTGTTTCAATAATTCACAGAAGAATGAGGTTGTGTTTCAATATTTTGCCTCCAGGGTCGGTCTTCGTGCACGCGACCTATAGGTCGCGTGCAAGAACTGTCAGATGACCGACCCTGGAGGCAAAACATATTTGTTTACAAGTGATCCAAATAGTTTTCCACAATTATTTTGGCATATGAATCGTATTTTTCCATCACATTGTGCTGTTGTAAAATGCACAAAAACTGCAGCGGAAGATGAAGAAATCCGGATGGTACATTATGATTCAAAAGTAAGTACTAAGATGTAAGTACCTAGTCCTCACATAGTTTTCATTTTTGAAATTTGGTTATTTCTCTGATTTCTCATCGGAATTCCTTCTGCAATAGGATCAGCTAATAGAAATATACCTGAAATTTCTAGAATAATGGAAGAAGATTGGATTCATGCAATCAATCGGTAGGACTGATCTAACATGCTGACGATCGTGTGTGTTGTAGACATTTTCAATCTATTAGCAGCATTAGCTTGTATTGCAGAAGTGGCAGAAGGCAGAAGGATAATTTAATAAGGAATGACAACATTTCATAATGCTAACTATGTGAGATTACTATTTACCTGAAAAATCATATTCCCTAGTCTCTTGCTGCATTTTTTGTGCATTGTACAACAGCACAATGCGAAGGCATGCTTGAATTAATGAATAACGCAAGAAACACGATTCGTATGCCAAAATATTGTGAAAAACTATTTCAACCTTTTGATTCTTCTGTAACCAAATAAAAAAGTGAGGTTGTGTTTCAATAATTCACAGAAGAATGAGGTTGTGTTTCAATATTTTGCCTCCAGGGTCGGTCTTCGTGCACGCGACCTATATACAAAAACGTCAAAACAGCAGTGTCAAATACATTTAGGAACTCTAACGTACACTGACAACGAACACGTGCCAGCTCGGTATGCGACTTAAATGGACACTATTCGAAATATCGGCAAGGTCGAACCGTAATTCTTTGGTTTTTGGTTGGTAGCTTGATATATCACTGTGCATTCAGGGGATATGGGTAGGTTTATAATGCGATAGACAAAAATGTGATGATAATCAGCCTGGGTTCCACTTCCTCCAGATTTATACTTACCCCGGTGTACCTTCTTATACCAAAAACCGACTTAAACAAATAAATGTCAACTCACCAATTGCACTGAGAATGCTCCAACATCTAGTGAAGACCAACAGTCCATCGAAAAACCTCGCCACGTACTGTTCACTGTTTTTCTGACCACTGGCGTCAACGTTCTCTAGCCCGCTCACTCGACCGTTGGCGGGATCGTTTTCCGACCGTGTTCCAGGGTGGAAACTCGGAAACATGAGTCAGTATCCACTGGATTCGATGCACTAATTCGATACTGAATATGTCATTACAAGGGTAACATAATTATGAAGGTTCCATTCACAATTATTGCGTATGCCTGCATCATTGTTCCAAGCGTTTAATTACAGGATGTCCCAACCAGAAGATGACACACTTAACATTATCTGAAAAATTGGTGAAACACGTCGACCATGAGTTTTCAAGAGGGGCAGCCTTATATTTTTTGATCATCATCATATATAGTATATCTCTACCTATAACCCTTCTTCCTCAAAACTTATTTTATTCAAATTGTGGAGCATGATCTTTATTCATTAATTAAGTCCATAAATCTCCCTTATTATCTGATTATATTCATTGATTTCTTGCCGACTTCAAGAAACAAAAGTCTCAAATCGTCACGTATGTTCATTTCTCACTTAGTGGGCAAATAATATAATATAATAATATTATATTTTCAGAATTTGTTTAGCTTTCACAGGTAGGTATTATACAGGGTGAGTCATAACTATTGGTACATTGGCCAAGGACGGATTGTTCGGTCCAGAATATGTCAATAGGGATAAAGATACAGGGCGTTTCCATCAGAAAAGTATCGACTATAAACTTGCACCAAAATTTATTCACTGACAAGAAATGTAATTTACCAACAAAAATTACCTGACAGTCCAAAGCACGCTCTTCATGAATGAAATCATATTTGAAATCCCCTTCCGACACTTTGAACTATTCCATTGCGTTTTTCTCGAAAAATGATGAAAATATCGTATGCAAACTATAGTTTCAATATTACGTAGAAATGATGTTTCAGTCATATGTTCTAATCAAAAGCTCTTAAAAGTTTAGTCAAATCATGTGGCGTCCCTTGTAACAAACTGTAGAATTATACATAAAATAATATTCTCTGTATAAAATATATGTATATAAATATTTTATTGAGGCATATTGGTTTCTATCGCCATATTTTGGTCCAAAAAATCCCCCCTTAGCCTATGTCCCAATAGTTATGACTCATCCTGTATAGATACCTATTCCCTTATTGTCTGCTCTTTGTTTTCTATTTATTTCTATTTATTCTTTTGATCAAGTTACACTAGCGTACTAGCGTATAAGTATTATTACTCCTTGATTGGGTGTGAAACTATTGAAAAGGAATATTCTCCGATATATCATGAATATGAAATATTGTATATATGTAAAGAAATATATTGAGAATTCGCATTATCTTCGTGTTGAATATATCAACTCTTTATGGGTATATTCAACAGAGAACATATCCTCTCAAATTGAGAATTCACATTCTCTTTCAAATCTGATAAATAATATGATTTATAATGATATAAAAATATAACTCACTAATATATTCAGTATTGAAATGAAAATAAAAATGTATAGGAGAAGTATACTTGCATAAACTAATGCGCTTGAAATTTCCAAAAATCATTCGTATCAGTGATATGGGAATATCATCTCTCACAAACAAGTTATATGACATTCGAATGAGCTCATTTCGGGTATCAAAATTTTCTTAGTAACCTGTTCAGTCATTCTTTCAGCCATTCTTCAGAAAATAAACAATCTTCATCTCTCTATGATATAACTAAAAATATAACGAACTGACATATGAGAATTATTAATTGACATTCAATTCCTGTCATCTAAAATTGTTCTATCCGTCATTCGGTTGTCCCCTTACGAGCAACCCTCAGAAGTCTTCGAAAGTCTTGTGGGAGCAAGGAATGACGCTTGGCTTGGGCCATCAGAAAAATGTCTGCAGTCGATGGGAATCAAACCCACGACCGGCAAGCGAATGCGAATTAGGATATAGACAATCTGTCCGCACGGCTACCTGGCATATAGCCAGGAATGCAGTTGTTTTCTGTTGAATATACCGATAAAGAGTTGATATATTCATCACAAAGATAATGCGAATTCTCAATGTATTTCTTTTATATAGGTATATACAATATTTCATATTCATAATATATCTGTGAATATTCCTTTCCAATACTTTCATACCCAATCAAGAGGTTCAAATTTGAACGATGGAAACTTGTTATTTTCATAGACATCTAATCGCAGATTCGCGATTGGGTTTTCTCAATTCAGAATTTTCTTTCCACGCCCTGTATGATTATTATCAATTTGTCATACATCCAAACTATTATAACTAATTCAATGTAAAAGTGGTATTCTCTTGCAGTAAGCACACTAAACACAAAATATCCTAAATTTCATTATATTTCTTGAAAGCTCCTGTGCGACGTATTTGGCTCACCCTGTAGCAAATGATCTGACAACAGCGGTTCATCCCAAAACTTTTACGGCCGATTTTTCAATTCAAGAAGTCGAGAACACATTCCTCCACGCCCCGCCGCGAACACTTGAGCAGAACTTTCAGCGACACAAAATTTCCAGGAGATTTCCACGACGCTTTCCCGCTCACGCGACTCGCAGTTTTCCTCCGGAAAATTCTGGCGCCGAGCTGGCGCAGCTTCGGTTCGAGAGAGGCGCGAAATGATGCGAGATATTTCCAGCTTCAGGCGTTCCAGAGTCTCTGGAGATTTATCGTTGTCAACGTTGCCAGCTCTGGGGAATGTCCTCATAACTAAGGAATTCTACGGGGCTCAGTTTTGAGAGGAACAATTTTTTTGTGTACCACGCTAAATGATCGATTAATCACGGAGTGACGATCTGTGATTTATTCAAAATATTAAACACGTTACCCATGGCAACACGATTTCTTAAACACATTACCATGGCAACACAGTTCATTAAACACAGCTTCAGTACAATTTAGACATGTCTGGCCTATCAATTGTAGGAACTGTCATTTCCGAATTTTGTATCAGAAATATTCAAACAATTTTCGTTTGTATCAGAATTCTTCAAAAAATATATGCGAAATGTAGACAAAAGTGAAATCGAAGAGAATGTTTTGCTTCTTGCATATCTCCAAGAAGTGTAAAAATGTAGCATCCATCTTTGAGAACTATTCATTTATTATGCGCTAAGCATGACAATAAACGTAAAACAAAGGTTAGTAAGCAATGAACTGGACACATCTACAACCAATATCACTTATACGTGTCTCGCTGGTTGCATGCAGTTGCATGTATTCTGTATTCCCATTCCGTTTTTTATATTTTTCTCAGAATCTGTGAATTTTTGTTATCACAAAAATATATATATACACTGTGTCCATAAAGTCACCCCCCCTGGTTAACTATTGAACGGATGGGATTTTTTTTTCAATTTTTTTTTGCTTCAATGGTAGTTTCAGTGCTATAATATATTGTTCCAAAAAAAAAAATATGTAAAGATTTTTTTAAATGGAGTGGGGGGGTCGAAAGATACCTCGATTGAAAGGTCTTTCGATTCTCTATACAACCTCAGAATCTTAGACAAAAATATTCATCCAAAACAAAATGGCGGATGATAACGTTTGAAATCTCACACCAGAATTCTTTCGACTGGATGGCTATTAAAGTGCTCGCATGTGATCTTCAAATCTTTATTGGCGTATAGAAGAGTTCTCTATCTATGAAGATATCAATAGAAAGCCATTTTGAAGAGAATAACATGGTAGTCACGTGGAATAAACATTGTTCTTTATTTTGAATAAATATTTCTAAAATTTTGCAGAATTTGGAAAGACAATCGAGCAAAGGTATAATTGACTACCATATTATTCTCTTCAAAATGGCTTCCTATTGATATCCTCATGGATAGAGAACTCTTCTTCACGCCAATAGAGATTTGAAGATCACATGCGAGCACTTCAATAGTCATCTAGTCGAAAGAATTCTGGTGTGAGATTTCAAACGTTATCATCCGCCATTTTGTTTTGGATGAATATTTTCGTCTGAGATTCTGAGGTTGTATAGAGAATCGAAAGACCTTTCAATCGAGGTATCTTTCGACCCCCCACTCCATTTAAAAAAATCTTCCAAAATGGCGCCTGAGCGCCATTTTGGAGGATACATATTTTTTTTTTGGAACAATATATAGCACAGAAACTACCATTGAAGCAAAAAAAAATTGAAAAAACAATAGTTAACCATGGGGGGGGGTGACTTTATGGACACAGTGTATATACCGGGTGATATCTTCTATATTCACTTCTTTATCACCACTCGTTTGAACCTAGAAAAACAAGTTTTGTCTGATTAATTGGTGGTAACTAGATCAGTTTGGCAATGTAAATTGATAATGATGCAATGAACAACTGTCAGTATATCCTCATTCATAGGTAACACGATATCTGATGTTGAAGCCAAACAAAAAAATTTTTTTATGGATCGTACCAATTCTTGAAAGTACGTCAATAACACGGTAACGACAGACAATTTTTATGGTGACAACGTATTTAGCTACAGGGTGTATGTTTTTTGCAATCCAGTGTTGCCGCTTCTATCAAAAAGTAGCAACAACTTTGTTATTTCCAATAGAATACCCTATATTTTATTGCATTTTCAGATTTTCCCTGAAGAGCTAATTTTATCGATACATCACACTTAGGGTCTATCGGAAATGATTACAGAAATATAGGGTGTTGAAAATCGAGATTTTTCAACTTTAGAATTTGTTTGTGTCGAAACTATTCATTATATCGGCCAAAACGGCTCACATATCCCTATCTCAACTTGATTTACAATCTACTGATATTTAATCGGAACAGATACAGGGTGATCAGAATTCTGAATCTTGAACCACCCTGTTCCGATTAAATATCAGTAAATAGTGAATCAAAAGTTGAGATTAGGACATGTGGGCCGTTTTGACCAATAATGAATAGTTTCGACACAAAAAAAACCTAAAGTTGAAAAATCTCGATTTTGAACACCCTATATCTCTGTAATCTTTTTCGATAGACTCCAATATCAATGTTGTTACTACTTTCTAGTAGAAGCGGCAACTCTGCACATTTTCATGGATTTCTCCCAACTGATTCTCGATATACTATAGATAGTGTTAGCTCGTTGTGACATACGTA